AAGTGCGTGGCCAGAACGATGGGTGGGTTCAGTGATGACCTGAACCAAGTTGATTCTGTCAAATGTTTGACTCCAGGTGACGATGGAGAATCAGAGTGGAAATTAAAATCACCAAGCACAACAAGATAACCTTTCTTGACCGAAAATGACGCTAAAAACTTTGAAAATTTTAAAAAGAAAGCAGACTCTGTTGACTTGTTAATTTTGCTGTATGGTGGGTGGTAAATATAAACGACGTTATAAAATTTGGAACCAAGATCCATAGATAAATTCATAGCTTCAAACGTTGGGTGGTCACACTTAAGTGCACTAGTTGTTATTTTAAGGCTTGAAGAACTTCTGTATATGGCAGCAATGCCTCCCCCTCTTCGACCTTGGTGTGGAAAAGATTTAACGATGTAGGTTGGGGGCACTAAATTAGCGAGTGTTTTAACATAGTTCCTACTTTTTAAGTTGTCGAAAGGAAGTAGAACTTGTAAACAAGCCTGACCTCAATGTCTGAGCGCCAATATCGATTGAAACGTCGCGAAATTCTTGCAAAAATCGTTGTTTTGTTGTCGCTATGTAGGCTACATCTAAGTGCAGTGGCGTGGCTCTCCAAGCGCAAATGGCGCCATGGCACCACCCTTTGAAATGCAGAAGGGATTTTCTTAAAATTGAAAAGGATTTTCCAAAACTTAACTAAATATCACAATATTTTCTTCAAACAAATCTCTTATTCATTGTTCGTCCCTAAGTACGCCAGCCTTTAGTTAAGGTGTCTATAATTAGGCCAGTGGGAGGAGGGCGGGTAAGCCTGCCGTTGCCGGTCGCAAGGATCTCCCCGCGTCTTTCATTTCCTACGTCTGACGTCACGGAGGGCGCCGAGCCCAGATCGGCGCTACCTGAACCAGTGTCTCTGCCTGAACCGATCTGGGAATTGTTTAGTTGTGAAGTCTGGTCAAAATAATTCAAAATGATCTATAAACTATTTGATTCGATCAGTTGAAAACAGTGTTTTCTTTCTAAGAATAGAGAAAATTTTTCTTTCAAACCCCATCCAGACGTTTGACGGAAGACACAAGAGATATCACCAAGAACACCACACTATGAGATTGTACTGTTGGGCCAAAGGGCCAAGATGGATTTGGCGCCTGTATGGTAGGGAGGGGATGGAGTGGTAGTTAGCCTGGACAAGGCATGGTCAATGGCATGGTTGCGAACTGTCTAAAAATAGGTTTGACTGTCTGCTTTCTAGAAACCAGAACTGCAGGTGAATCAGAGAATGTGGTCATTATGTCAAGATGCCCCGAGGGCAATAGTGCATGCGTGTTCTTGACTGTGAATGTGTGCTTTTCTGTTGATCTGTGGGAAGTTATTGTTTTGTGTGTGGTTATGATGTGATGTGATTGTGCGCATCTTTAGCGCAGAACTTGGTTCTTTATTATCAGATCTCTCTCTGAGAGTACCAGCACTTATCTATTCTTCTTGCATGGAAGTAGGTGTCCCTGTATCAGTATTAAAATTAAACGAAGAGGCGTATATAGTAGGTCTACAGGTTATAGGCCTGTAATAAGAGGCATTACAATTGGAAGTGGCGCCGCGCCCCTGTCTAAGGGTAAATAACACAAGCCTGGTATAAAAGCCGTTCAGAAAGATATTCAACTAAATTTGTGAAATTCTTGCATAAATGTGTGCTAGGGTGATATCGCTACAATTTCGTGTTTATTCCTATGGATTATATGGACTTGTAGAGCTGAGAAAATGCGGTAAGTCGAAATTTTCGAAGAAGTGTTGCGCAATTTTTTTCCTCATTCGTTTTTGTCTGAAGGAAAATACAATACAAACAGATTATAGGTCATTGTCATTGATATTGACTGATTCCTCTGTTGATTCCCATCAGTTTGGTATAATAGGCCTACATATTAGAGTAACTTATGGTTTCACAGTAATGCATTAAATAGATATGCACCGCAGGGAAAAATAATTCTGTCCAGAGACGGAAAAAAATCATGGATGGAATCAGTTAACATGATCCTTTATTTATAAGTACTTTGTATTGTTTTTTTAAATTGAAAACTTGAAAAGGATTTAGGAAACGAAAACATCTAGTTTCACTTTGTCAAAGTGTTGGTCTGGCGAAAAACAAGTGAATTAATTCTTGCAGTCTTGCATCAACAAAACGTTGTAACCGGAATCAGTATAAATATTATAGCTCAAACAAAAATTGGAATATTGCATTCAAATAAAAAGCTGCACGTTCAGAAATTTATGGAATCTGCTCTTGACCTGTATATGATAAGATAGCTATGCTGATTTGTTTGTTCACATGTTTAGTGTGTGTAATTTTTTCCATTAAAATGTATTTTTCTCACCATCATCGCCATTTCTAACCCTTGTAATGCATACTTATATTTAAAATCAACCCTTGTTTCATGTTGGAATGTATTCCTTATTCAATTTTTTTCAATTTGATAAAAATATTTATCATATATTTTGAGTGATAGTTATGCTTATATGAAGTTATTTTGTGCATCACTTATGTAGCCGAATTGAGTCACAAGTTAATTACGTCTAAACCTAAAACAGCTCTTTCCGGAAAGAGTTAATATTATTTAATTGAAAGACAATCGGCATGTACTGATTAGTGTATTCTGTAGACTTCCAGTGATATATTTTGAGCTAGATATAGATAATAAAGGAATCTCAATCATTGTATCGTTGCAACGGAGAACCGGAAGAAAGACAATGTTACTGAATGAAAATTTGGAGAAAAGATACATCATCATGCTAAAGAGATTGAGGCTTGAGATATAGAACTAGCCAGTGGGGCAGTTACAGTTTGTTTTTTTGGTAAGTGTTTTATGAACTGAATAAGGTCATATGAGCTTGCGGGACACATTAAACTTTTTCAGTCGGTAGGAAATTTTGAATTTTGCCCGGGTGGCGGCCGATGCCTATTCTTATCGATTTTAGACCGCCAAGGAATCTTTAACGTGCGCAACTTGCACATGGGCCGTCTGAGATTTTTCACCCTCGTAGATCTTTCCCACCAGAAGATCAGGGGTGTGGCTGAAAGACAGCAGTAAGAAGGAGCCATGGAGTACCAGTAGAAAGGCTGCAGAAAGAGTCAGGGGCCCAGAGGAGAGGGCAAAGGAGATGAGGGGGTGGGGGCAGAAAGGGGAGACGAAAGCAGGTGACAGAACATTAATTGCTAGAGAACAGGAAAGGAAGTGAAAGGTGACAATTTAAGAGAAGAAAATTTTTCGGTCGCTACCCGGATTTGAACCGGGGATCTTTGAATGAGAGGCCAACACCTTTACCTCTAGGCCACAAGAGACCTTGATGAGTTAAGTGAGGTGGTCTAGTAGTAATAAATACAATGGGAAGCAACATATCCTGCACAATATATTATATTGTTCTAGGTGAGTACCAGTGCTGTACAAAAAAAAACAATCTTTCAACTCAAATGCCACAAGTTGTAGTGACTATGAGTTCATAAAACATTGCCGTAAAAGAGTATTTTTCTGACAAATCACTTTTTTTGGCATACATATGTTCAGACTGCAAAATTTATGTTTGGTCCATGAAAATATCCTCCTGCAAAATTCAAAAATTGTTTTACCGTGAAAAGAACCTTGCAACAAAATAATTTCTTTTACGGTATTTCCTGCTAGCCCATTCCAGGTTTGTAATGTTTTTCTCTAATTGGGTGCCTTCATAGTCTTTTTAGTTATTTGTTGGCAGGCTCAAATTGAAGGACTCTTAAATCTATTCAATTTTGTACTCTCTGAATGTATTGGATGAACAGACTTGTGATCAGTGTGTTTTTTTTCCATCTTCAGTGATATCTTTGGAAGATGGTCTAGATTTTGACAATAATTCCAGTTAGGCCATTTTGCTGGGAGCAGACATGCCACTCATCCTGATTTAGTCGGGATATCCCGATTTTTTCGCCCAAATCTGAAGCATCCCGATTTTTCCGATTTCAATTGCGTGTATCCCGATTTTTTGTCTCAGTCTGCTGTTGTGCTGGATTTTTCTAAAAACATACTCTGCCTTCTCTTTTTTTTTATCGCGAGAAGCACCCGTTGAACCTTTTTTTCAGTAGGAACTCGGAGCACTATTTCCCGAAATATCGATGCCGCATTTAGTAGTTGACTCGCCCCCAAAAAACGTCGTTATCTAAGAAGTAGAACGACTGTCGCTCATCCGAGTGTTTTGTGTGAACGCGCAGTTAGTCGGACCCGTTAGTAAAAAATTGTTTCAATCGCGCATTCGCGTCACGTGACATGACATCGCCATGTGAGTTCTGCGTGTCGGGGACCGTCCGTTGACGGGGTCAACGTAAGTTCATGTATTTTGGGACTTATTGGTGGGAGTGGGTATAGACACTTGGACTAGGAGTGCTTGACGTGATGCTTCAGGATTTACAAAAAATAATGATAACTCACGCGCACGCACGCACGCATACCCGCACACACACACACACACACACACACACACACACGCACACACGCACAAACAAACAAAGACACACAGAGGGCATATAGGCCAAGTAATTTATGGACATCCCTGGAAAAATTTTACGTTAGCTTTGGCAGTCACCTTGGTGATTTGCTGTTGATCCCGATGATCCCGATTTTTTTCACCAAATCCCGATTTTTTCTCCCTGAGATCCTGATTTTGAGGTTTCATAGAGTGGCAGGTCTGTGGGAGTGAATACTATGGTTAAAAGCAGTGTGGTTAATGGGGCCTCTACTGGCCTTCTTGTCTGAGTGATTAGTGAAGGGAATGTTTGCGTAAAAATTTCTTTCATTGTAGATCAGAAGGTGGGAGTAACAAGAAACATGTCTCCTGTATGTACATGCAAGATATTCTTCCTTTGATGCCCTGAATCTCTGTCTCATAATCCCGTGGCCATCTTTGTCCTTCTGCATTTTTGGTCCTTGTCTTGTTTTATTATTTTAAATTCTAATGTCGAAACTATTTTTTTCTGTTTCAACAATTCGCATTCTAAGGAGGAAACGAACCTGGGCCTGCTCCGACAATGCTTGACGCGTTATGACTCCAACACGACAGGAATGGTCAACATCCTCAATAGCTTTGAAGAGCGACTGGAGAACTTGGAGAAAACAATCGTTCCTGTCTACAATGAAACAGAAAACTTACGTCGCCGTCAAGAAAGTATCCTTGTTGTTAAGTGCTCTGTAAGACAGTCTGGCTTTTCTACAGGATGAAATTTATATTTGATTCCTGGCTCATAAACAGTTGTTCTTTCAGCCAAAGGTAGAGGTTTTGCTGCAAAACTCTAAGGTATGACAAAGTTGAGGATTGATTCAAGATTTTTTATGTTTATACATTCAAGCTTCCCCCCCCTCTCTCTCTCTCTCTCTCTCTCTCTCTCTCTCTCTCTCTCTCTCTCTCTCTCTCTCTCTCTCTCTCTCTCTCTCTCTCTCTCTCTCTCTCTCTCTCTCTCCTCTCTCCTCTCTCTCTCCCTCCCCCCCCTCTCTCTCTCTCTCTCTCTCTCTCTCTCTGTCTCCCTCTTTCTCTCTCTCTCTCTCTCTCTCTCTCTCTCTCTCTCTCTCTCTCTCACACACACACACACACACACACATGCAAGCATGCACGTGTGCGCACACACACACAAACACACACACACACATAAACACATGTACTCATCCATTTTAAATAAGCATGTCCAGTGAGGCATAAATCTCTGCAAAACCTCTTCATATGGCATCATCCACATATGTGAGGCATCATGGTGAAATCAGGCGCTCATCAAAATAATGAAATAGAAGAAATCAGCATTTTTTGGGCTGATGGGCAATTTTTTTCTAATTTTCTTTTTATGTCCATTTAAAGCAACACATTTTTATGTGGATTTTCCCGAAAAGCATTGACTAAATGCATGAAAAATGTAAATTTTCTGTTTCCAAAGACTCTCAAACTATGGAAGTTACCAAACTTTGGTGGCCATTTTCTCATTAATTTTATCCTGAAACCAGGCGACCCTGACCCCCTTCAATCGCAAATATTTTGACTTCTATTCAACATAGATGGATATTTTTTTTCACCAAAAGGAAGACCAATGAACAGGCTTTAAGATGATACCAATAACCCCATAAGTAACAAAATTGACGAGCGCCTGATTCCACCCCGTCGTGACACATATACCTCTTTTTAAAAAAAGTTAAAGGTCCCTTATGAAGTGTCCAGACATTGAGAAGACAATGCAGACCCTGGACAATGTGCTCAGCTATTACCACACAGCAAAGGATGTAGAGGCAACAGTGAAGGAAGGGTAAGCTGGGGAAGGGTAGGGGGGGGGGGCAATCTTTGTGTGTATGTATGTTAAGGGTATGGGGCAGAAGGGTGGGGTTCTGTGTGTTTTGGTATTGTTAAGAGGGGAGGGGAACTGGTGATTTCTGTAATGGACCCTTGTGGCAGGTTTGACTTATGTTTAAATTTGTCACTTTCACTTTTAGTTTTAGTCTTGCTACATTTCTGCTGTGCATGTAACTGATGACTGAATATGCTACTTACTCTTTCAGGCCAGCTGCATGTGACTTGGAGACGTATATGTCTTATCTGGAGAAGGTTCTGAAAGCCAAGAAGTACTTTGACAACTTTAGCCCTAACAGCAAGGAACTGAAGGACATTGTGAGTTGTTTTCACGATAATATTGTCAATGTTGCATTAATGTCAGCACATTGTAACCATGGCTGGGCAGGGGAATATAAGAAGTTAGCTTACTCTCACAAACACACGTACATGCACACACACACACACAAACACACTCACACGCACACACTCTCACGCACACACTGGTCTGTACTCTTACTAATATTGTCGGAAGAATCTGATTTGCCAACCATTTCTTGCGTGCATATGAATATTACAAATTGTAGACTCTGTTGTGCAGATGGTCGGAAGGTACCGCTGTTATGTCTTACTTCTTTTCTGTCAGTCTGTTATTTTTGTGTGTCTGCCTTACTTTTTCCCTGCCTAAAAATGTTTAGACTATTATTGCGTTAATATGCTGTTACTGGAATCTGATTCAAATGTTGTGGAAGTTGTTACACCTTTCCATATGCCTAGTGATGTTGAAGTTGTTGTCAAAGGCACTTGTTTCGGGTGTGTGGTGAATGGGGGGAGTGGCTTAGGGAGGAGACAGGCTATTTTTTTCCAGACAATCGGCGCTGACGATTTTATCCTTTTTTTGGCAGGAGAGGATTTTTGACGATGGCAAAGAAGCGCTGCAGCATGAGTTCAAGTCTTTGCTGAACCGTCATGGAAGACCAGTGCCAGCCATTGTCATATTGGATTTGTTGAACACAGATGATGGTAAGTGGGTGGTTGGCGGGTGCTCTGGTGTGGTTTGTTTCTTTTTCCCTATCAAACATCTGTCGTCCTCATCTCCCCTCCTTCTTTTTTATGTTTGTTACTTTCTTGTAGCACCTCTAATCTTCTGGCGCTCATATGACCCTATGCAATTGTGAGCGCCGTAAAACCAGTACTACAAAAAAAAAAGATGATGGTCAGAGGTTGTGTTTTAGTAAACATTACTGATCTGTAAATGATGATTGTAGGTTATTACTTGTGTTGCACAGGGATGTATGGCTTGAAATAGCATAATTGTTTGTGTACATCTGTGTCATATGAGTATGAAATCCTAAGATGTAAGATGTTACCATTTTTTTTCTCAGTGGTAGTATGTTTTAATAAGACATGAGTATTTGTTTTTATCAGTATTACGAAGTGATATACATGGAGGTAAGATAACTCTATTTGAAAGCCTTGGTAGACGAAATGTGGATGTTATAGTGGATACTCACCTTAAACTTAATTCTATTGCATGTTTTGTACTTGTCAGAGTTACCGCCGGTGGGAACAGACACTGACTTGGCTTTAGAGCAGCTGTCGGAACGTGTGACGGAGGAGCTGAGAGAGATCTCCAAGTGGCTGACAGATAACGGGAGGAGCGTGGAGTTTATCCCAACTTATACCACTGCACGTTCCACTGTGCTCAGCAGATCTCTGGCCGGGTCAGTTGCTCGGACACACCTGTGTGTGTGTTTGTAGTGTATGCGTGTGTGTGTGCACATGTGTGTGTGTCTGCGAATGGGTGTAGATTCTTTTCTATAGACCCTTGTCCACCTGAATGTCTGTCTGATTCTGAATAAGTGTCGCTCTCTGTCTCTTCGCTTCTATATATCTTTGTAAATATCTATTTTTGTCTATTCTCTTTTGTTTTTCCAAACATGTTCTCTCTCTTTAACTGCCTGTCTCTTGGTCATCTTTCTCTCTCTTTCTGCAGCCCTTCCAACTGTCTGCGCATTTACCCTCTGCTACGAGACACACACACATACGCACATGTGCGCACATGCACACACACACACACACACA